GGCCCTGCCTTTTGGCACAGAGCAGAGAAAGGAATGAGTTGAACCTAATCTTGCAAAGCAAGTTCGCTGTTTTATCAATAGTTCGTTGTAGATTTCAGGGATGACGGATTCTGATGCACTCGTTTTATAATGTTTTGGTCACACCAGCCCTTGATGCCTTTCCTTTAAATGAATTGTAGACAGAGGGATTTAGCTTCTTTCTTAGCCTGTTTTTTGTGTTGTTTGTTGTTTTTTACCACAAGCCGATTGCCAGCATAATGGAGAGGAAATCAGATTGGATATGGACTCTTTTTTATGCCTCTTCCAGTGTCACGTTTATATATCCAAATGGACATTATCCTCTCAGATTATTATCTGGCACTAACTTATAACTGTTATATTATCGGAGACGGTAGCAATATATCAGTGCCCGGGATACATCACAGGCCTGTATAGATGTATGTCTACACCTAAGGGTAAATGAATTTACTTATCAGGTTTTACACATCAGTCTCTAATAGAGATTTTAAAAACCCAACGAATTGGCCTATATCTGAGTATACAAGTGTCATTTCTCTGTGCATTCTTATATGCCTTCCCTCTAATTAATGACTGAGTTGGTGGAAAATGGCTGTTTTATTCGTGGTTTTTTTTTGTTGTTGTTGTCCTCAACTTTAAAAGTAATCTACCTCTTAAAATTTGTAGTTTAATACTTGTTTGGTGAATTTGTGCCGCTTTAACCCTTTCACTATCATTCCCATTTTGTTACATTTCTGTTATGGGGACTTTATGTTGAAATATTGTATAAAGCGTTTGTAGCAGTTTAAAAATAAAATATTTAAAATTATTTAAATTGTTTTGGATGCTTCAATTGTGATTTACATTTTGCATTTTGTTTGAGTTGTTAATCTGGAGAGTGTTCTTGTATTGAAGTTTGCTGTTAGTAATTTTATTGTTTCTTGTTGGAGAGTGATATAAAAGACTATTCTGATGAAAACATTAAAATTTACAAATTGACATACAAAAGGGGTTGTCCGTTGATTTTAACCAACGTAGCCTTGAGAGAGAGAGAGAGGTTAATTATAGACAGACAAGTTAAGAGTGGTGTTTGCTATTTTTCCCCTTCCAGCATGAAATAAATCATTTGAGCTTGTCAGATGTACAGAAAGTTTTCTTATGCTGTTGCTAGCAAGCACTTAATGACAGGGGGGAATTCAAATGATGCATTTTATATCATTGCAACCAATAAAAAACTTTCTAAAAGCTGTGGAAAAAAATCCTACCAGGGATTGAACCCGTGCCCCCTGCAGTGGAAGCACAGAGTCCTAACCACTGGACCTCCAGGGAATTCCCAAACTGAAGTAACTTTTGAACAAGGTATCCATCAGGCTACAGACAAAATGGACTGTAACAAATACTGACCTCTAGTTGGTGGACTTCTCTTCCACAGTGAATCAGGTTAGTGAATCTGAAACTACTGAATGTGTACTTTAGGACTGAGCAAATAAGTAAAATTCTTGTGGCTAATGAAAATCAGGTTTCTCACTGTTGGAGAAGGGAGTTACAAACAGAAAGGGAAACAGAGAAAGGCTCGGAGGAACATTCTGGTGTTGGATTGGTATTGTACAATAGATGTCAGTAGGAACTCATGGATTTTAATGTATAAGTAGAAAGATAGATGTGTGCATGGATTTACAAACATATGTGTATATGGATTCACAACATATACGCATCCATATTATATCCTAACTCTGTCCACGGAGAGGGCCTAGAATCAGCAACACTACAGAAGCAATGAGCACTTCCAGTGCCCAGATCTTGGTGTCCTAAGTGCCATTATCCACTCAAAGAAAACGAAGCTTCTCTGGAGAAATGTCTGAGTCCAGGGCCAGGACTGGGAAAGTACAAGATGAGCCTGAAACATCTTGATGTGATCTAAAGGAAAGATGTGCTTAAAAAAATGATGGAGACATGTCAAAAGGACACAGGAGCCAGCTCGAAGAGACTCCCACTGGCCAAAACTAGAACAATTTGAGCATTAAAATAAATAATCACAGTTTTTTTAAACAAATGGTGTTGGGAAAACTGTATATCCACATGCAAAAGAATGAAGTTGGGTCATATCATATACAAAAATTAACTCACAATGGATCAAACATATAAATGTTAGACCTAAAACTATAAAACTCTTGGAAGAAAACAGAGGGAAAGCTTCATGACATTGGATTTGGTAATGATTTCTTGGATATGACACCAAAAGCATAGGCAACAAAAGAAAAAAATAGGTAAGTCGGCTATCTCAAAATTAAGAACTTCTGTGCATCAAAGGACAAAATCAACAGAGTGAAAAGGCAATCCATGGAATGGGAAAGAATATTTACAAATCATATATCTGATAAGGGGCTAATATCCAGAACATACAAAGAACCCCTACAACTCAACAACAACCATCATTTTCAAATGAGCAAAGGACTTGAATAGACCTTTCTCCAAAGAATATATATAAATGAGGCCAATAACCACATGAAAAGATTATAAACATCACTAATCATTAGGGAAATACAAGTCAAAACCACAGTGAGGGGCTTCCCCGGTGGCGCAGTGGTTAAGAATCCGCCTGCCAAGGCAGGGGACATGGGTTCGAGCCCTGGTCCGGGAAGATCCCACATGCCGCGGAGCGACTAAGCCCGGGAGCCACAGCTACTGAGCCCGTGTGCCACAACTACTGAAGCCCTTGCACCTAGAGCCGGTGCTCTGCAACAAGAGAACCCACCGCAACGAGAAGCCCATGCACTGCAACAAAGAGTAGCCCCCGCTCGCCGCAATTAAAGAAAGCCTGTGTGCAGCAAAGACCCAATGCAGCCAAAACTAATAAACAAATTAATTTATTAAAAAAAAACACACACACAGTGAGATACACCTCATACCCATTAGGGTGACTACTATAAAAATAAATAAATAAATAAAATAAACAATAACAAGGGCTGGTTAAGATAACCTTGTTGGAACTCTTGTGCACTGTTGGTTGGAATGTAAAATGCTTCAGTCACTGCAGAAAACAATATGGTGGTTCCTCAGAAAACTAAGAATAGAATTACCATATGATACAGCAATTCCATTTCTGGACATATAACCAAAAGAATTGAAAGCAGGCTCTCAGAGAGGCATCTGTACACCTGTGTTCATAGTAGCATTATTCATAATAGCCAAAAGGTGGAAGCAACCCAAGTGTTCACCAATGGATGAATGGATAAACAAAATGTGGCATATACATATAATGGAACACTATCCAGTCTTAAAAAAGAAGGAGATTCTGACACATGCTACATACAATATGGATGAACCTTGAGGACATTATGCTAAGTGAAATAAGCCAGTCACAAAAGGGCAAATACTGTATGCTTCCATTTACATGGGGTACTTAGAGTAGCCAAATTCATAGAAACAGAAAGTAAAATGGTGGTTGCCAGGGGTTGGGGGACGAGGGGAGGGGATTTGATGTTTAACAGGTATGGAGTTTAAGTTTGGAAAGATGAAAAAAGTTCTGGAGATGGATGGTGGTGTTGATTGCACAACAATGTGAATGTATTTAATGCCACTGAACTGTACACTTAAAAATGGTTAAGATGGACTTCCCTGGTGGTGCAGTGGTTAAGAATCTGCCTGCCAACGCAGGGGACATGGGTTCGAGCCCTGGTCCGGGAAGATCCCACATGCTGAGGAGCAACTAAGCCCGTGCGCCACAACTGCTGAGCCTGTGCTCTAGAGCCACGAGCCACAACTACTGAGCCCACATGCCACAACTACTGAAGCCTGTGCGCCTAGAGCCCATGCTCCACAACAAGAGAAGCCACCGCAATGAGAAGCCCGTGCACCACAACAAACAGTAGCCCCCGCTCGCCACAACTAGAGAAAGCCCGCGCGCAGCAACGAAGACCCAATGCAGCCAAAAATAAATAAATAAATGTATTATTTTTTAAATGGTTAAGATGCTAAACTTTATGTTATGTGTATTTTATCACAGTTTAAAAAATTATGTTCAGTGAAAGAAACAAGACACAAAAGATTTGTGATTGTATGATTTCATTTACATGAAATGTCCAGAATAAGCAAATCCAGAATGAGATTAGTGGTTGCCTAGGGCTGTCAGAGACAGATAGGGATTGAATGCTAACAGTCACAGGGTTTCTTTTTGGGGTGATCGAAATATCCTAAAATTAGATTGTGGTGATTTTTGCACAAGCCTATAAATACACTAACTACCATTGCCTTGTACAACTAACTTGGGTGAATTTTATGGTATGTAAATTATATCTCAATTAAGCTACTTTTATAACTACATAAAGATAGTAACTGGGACTTCCCTGGTGGCGCAGTGGTTAAGAATCCACCTGCCAATACAGGGGACATGGGTTCGAGCCCTGGTCCAGGAAGATCCCCCATGCCGTGGAGCAACTAAGCCTGCGCGCCACAACTACTGAAGCCCCCGCACCTAGAGCCCGTGCTCCACAACAAGAGAAGCCACACAATGAAGACTAGCCCCCGCTCGCCGCAACTAGAGAAAGCCCACGTGCAGCAACGAAGACCCAATGCAGCCAAAAATAAATTAATTAATAAATTAATTTTAAAATGATAGTAACTGATTTTAACCTGTAAATTATGAGTCCCACACTGATACAAATAAACAAACGAATAAATAAATACATGGGGAAGAAGAGAAAGCTCTTTCTCACAGTAGAATCCCAGCTATACATGTAAAAGAAAATCATCATATGGCCACCATCATAGTAGTAATTGCTTCAGGCAAGAATCACCAACGGATGCTAAACTGGTGAGTGGAAGTTTGACGAAAAATAGGAAAGATACATAATCTCAAAGTATGTCCCTACAAGATACTTATTAATTACAAAGGGGAAAGAGTACATTTCGGTGGAGAAACCTGGAAAACACCACCTTAATCGAATGATCAAAGCTAATACCAACAATTTGGAATTAACCAATGCTTTGTGCTTCCGGATACACTGAGGAGAACACAGCGTCACTTCTGTGGAATTCCTGCCCAAGATGCATAATCCAAATCTAATCTTGAGGAAACATCAGATAAACCCAAATTTAAGGACATTCTTCCAAAGCACTGACCTGTGCTCTTCGAAAACATCAAGATCGCGAAAGTTAATGGAAGATGGAGACATTGTTCCAGATTGAAAGAGACCAAAAAGACCTGATAAAGGAATGCAGCTCGTGACCTAGGATTTCCTTTTCCTATAAAAGGACAGTACTGGCACACCCACTAGGATGGCTAGAATCAGATAACAAAGTGTTTGTGAAGATGTGGAGAAATTGGAACCCTCATACTCTGCTGGCAGGAACGTAAGAAAATATCCTTGTTCTTAGAAATTTTATACTGAAGTATTTCATTGAAAGGGCATCACACTTGCAACTACGATCAAATACTTTAGAAAAAATTATAGATAGATAGATAGAGATATACTGAGAGAAAAAGAGAGACAAAATGAGAGAGAGAAAACATTATTCTGAGGCTTGGCAATTTTTTTTTGTCAATCTAATAAGCAAAGAATGGGATCTCTTTGTCTTAATTTTCATCTTTAATTATAGGGAGACCATTTAAAATGTCCTAGAATCTATAACTCAGAATGACTACAAAGGCTATAAAGTCTGACAGATATTTATTGAGTGCCCACTCTCTACTAAGCTCCAGCGGTAAAAATATGAAACATCACACCTAGTAGATATGAAATCACATCTGTTGTTTTAATTTTGCATTTCCCTGATAAAGAGATTGAGTTATCTTTTCATATATTATACGTATTGGCCATTTCAGGTGACTTCTGCCGTGGATTACCTATTCATGTCTACTGTCCATTTTCTAGTGTATTGTTTGTCCTTTTCTTATTGATTTGTAGATGCCCTTTATATGTCCTAGAATCTAGAGACTAGTTCTTTGTCACACACATCAGAAGACTAGATGGAAACAATCAAGTCTGTGAAGCTCAGGGTACACATAGTGAGGATCTTCCAGTTTTAAATGCCAGGTCTTGCAACCAAAGGAAATATTTCTTGCTTGTGCTGTGGGTCATTGTTGACTCGATTTGAGTATGTTTGAAAACTGAGGAAAAAATTAGAATGAAGTCTAAGTCATAAAATGTATGGCCTGTATTCTGCTGTTAAGGAAAGGAATTAATATTTGTGCATCTGGCCTATGTAATTACCCATTACAGTTGACCACTGAACAACTGGGGAGGGTCTCAATCCGTGTATAATTCATAGCCGGCCCTCCATACCCACAGTTCCTCTGCATCCCAGGAATCAACCAAACAAGGACTGTGTAGTACCGTAGTATTTACTATTGAGAAGTATCCACCTATCAGTGGATTGTGCAGTTCAAACCTGCGTTGTTCAAGGGTCAACTGTTAAATATTTTTCATTTGTAATATATGCATATTCATTTATGAGGTAAAACTCCATCTAACTTCATGTTAACATTTTTTTAAAGAGAGGAGACATGCATTTCTCTTCAATTGCCATTGGTATTTCCAAGCAAAGAACTGCTAATCCCACTCTTTTGTTTAACAGAAAGGGACACTGAAGCCCGGGGAGTGGGCATGGCTTGCCCAGCTCCATACAGGCAGGCATTAATCTGATTAGAACCTGTTTTCCTTAGCTCCTCAGGTCAGGGTGGGGTCCAGCTTGACCTTGGCTTCCTTCTCCCTTCCACCTGATAGCTAAGTAAGTATGCAGTCCGTGCCCAATAAATGCTCCTTTGGAAAAAGGCCCTTCATCAGCCTAGGGACAGAGCGGAGTGTCCAGACACTGCAGGGTAGGGTAGGCAGACAGCAAGTGCTGCATAAATCCTCAGAGTTGGTGCAGATAGGGCCCAATACAAACCATCGTTGGGGACGCTGTAAGTGCTTTATAAATGCTCCCAATCGGTGCTCCGTACTAGCCTCCGGAAGGAGTCCCTAGGGGAAAGCACAGGCGCCTAATTCTTGCTCCTAGGTGACAGTCAGTACTGGTGTTTCTGGCCGGTCCCTGGTGCTGGAGAGGGTTGGAAATTCCCACAGCTCCTTCAAAGGATGGGAAAGGAGAGACCTCGGTTTATTCTCCCATCTGTGAAAAGGGGGCACAACAGTGACACGAAGACGTGCGCGGGTGGGCAGTTTCGGGGGCGAGGCTGATGGCTGGGGAAACGGACTTTCTCTCCTCCCTCCCCCATCTTTCCCATCTCGGCTTCCAAGGATTAGGAATTTGGCGTTTGGACAGTTTGTTCTTGGACGGCCAGAAGACCTCCCGACGCGACCCTTCAGGGACTGGCACACCAAGAGGTCGGAAAGGTGCGGGATCCAACGTTCCACGCGCCCACGTCCTCCCGCGCCCGGCTCCTCTCAACCTCCCGCTCCTCCTTCCCTCAATCCTCCCGCTCCCCTCCTCCTCCGTCCCCGCCCCGCTCCTGTCCTCTTATTGGCCGAGCGGGCCGGCCGGGCCTCCCCGGGATTTAAAGGGCCCGCTCTCCGCGCTGCCCTGGGAGCCGCAGCTGGTCCCGGCCTTGCGGCCTGCGGGGGAGGCTGCCCGGAGGAGGCGGCGACGGTGGCGGCGGCTGTACGTCCCCGGCCCCCTGGACCGCAGCTTTCTTACTGCCAGGTAGGTCGCCGGTAGTGCACGTGTGGCTCTCCCGCTCGCATCCTGAGCCGGCCTCCCCTTGCGGGTCTGCAGCGCGTGTGCTAGGGCCCCCTCTCCATCACCTTTCCAACTCTCCCTTCTGCTGTGTCCCTTTCCACCACCTCCACCTCCCTGCAGCCCCCGGGCCTGGGCAGGGCTTTGTTGGCGGCCGGGAGAGGCCGGGTGGGGGTGGGATGGGGCGCGCGGGGGATACAGGACACCCCCCACATCCGTTCAAGGAGAGATGCACACGGCCCCCAAGTGTCACAGGATCTCCCTCTCTGCCCTCCACACTGAGTGACTCTACCTCGGAAACCAGGGAGCCCCCCAATTTGATATACAGGCCTACAATGTACACCATTCAATCACTATCGGACCCGGACTCTTCCCAGCATACAAGGAACACAGGTCCTTCATTCACCGCAGGTCATGGGCTGTGTGTGTGCACCCAGAACACCCCCCCACACACAGCTGGCGGCTCAATCTGATGTACCTGACACTCACACCTTCCCTCAGCCCCCCAGTACCCTGTCTCTACAAGGGTTGGACAGCCCCAGACTGAAATCTGAGTGCTCAAGTCCATCTCTTGAGCATCGTCTGCCCCGTGGACATCCCAACTAAGCTCCTTCTATGTCCCCCCTTTGGCAGGTCTATCCATCAGTCCATCCATCCGTGGGGGTCCACAATGGCCACCTTCAGCCGCCAGGAATTTTTCCAGCAGCTGCTGCAGGGCTGTCTCCTGCCTACTGCCCAGCAGGGCCTTGACCAGATCTGGCTGCTCCTTGCCATCTGCCTCGCCTGCCGCCTCCTGTGGAGGCTTGGTAAGTGCCTGCCACACCATGGGCCACCACGCCAGGCCAAATCACACCTGCCACGTTCATCCGTACCAAGCCCCACTTTATCCTGCCACATCTTGCCAAGCCAAGCCAGGCTCGTACACGTCCAGCCTACCACAGCCCACCAGGCTAAGCGCCATTCTACCACACCACGTCCCACTAACCCAGCCACCCCATGCTACACCACACCAAGCCACATCCTGCCATGCCAAGCCATACCTTTCCGTATCCCTGGGTTCTGGGACTGTTGAAAGCTGAGGTTCTTGAATCTTGGGATACTGAAATGCCTACATCCCAAGGTTATAAGATTCTGAAATGCTGATGTCACAGGGTTATGGAAAGTACCATGTATCCCAAAGTGCCGTGTTATGGGGTTTGGGGATTCTGACAAGTTGAAATTCTCACATTCCAGGCTTCCAAAATGCTGGCATTCTGGATTTCTGGAATCAAGGCATGATAAAATCTCTGGATTCTAGGATTCTGGAATGTTTCCACAAATCGTGGCAAGCCTATATCCAAACAACGAGATCCCAAGTGCCCGAGATCCCCATGGGATGCTGAGAATTTTGGAAATCTGAGATTCAGAAGTTCTACACTTTCTTTTTTCTTGTTCTTTTATTTTAAATGGATGTTTTATTTTTTCCCCAGGTTTATCACTTTGAAAAGTTTCAAAGTTACTGAAAAGCTAAGTTGAAAGAATAGTACAATGAACACCCATATATGCATCACCTGATTCTCCAACTGTCAACATCTTGCCACATTAGCTTGCTCTATCTACCTATCTATCTACCTACCTATCCATCCGTCCATCTGCCTATCTATCTATCTATCATCTTCCTGAATCACTTGAATAACGTGCTGACACTTCATCCCAAATCCTCTTGCGTGTGTCCCCCAAGAACAAAGACATCTTCCCCCCACAGCCAGAGCCTCAACCATCACCCCTCAGGAAATTTAATCTTGATGCCATGATATTATTCAATATAAGTTATTCAAATTTCCTCCAGGATTCCCAAAGTGACCTTTATAGATGTCTCTTTTCTTTAAACCCAAGCCCTGCCACCTCCCCAGCTCCCCAACACCTGCTTTGGGCCCCCTGCAATCCCACCACGTTCCAACCTCTAAGCCTTTGCCTGAGCTACGTCCTCTGCCCAGGCTGCCCTTCTACCAGCCCTGCTCTAATTCCCTTTCTTGTCCTCTCTTTCTCTCACTCAAAGGGTTGCCATCCTACCTGAAGCATGCAAGCACCGTGGCAGGCGGGTTCTTCAGCCTCTACCACTTCTTCCAGCTGCACATGGTTTGGGTCGTACTGCTCAGCCTCCTGTGCTACCTCGTGCTGTTCCTCTGCCGACATTCCTCCCATCGTGGCGTCTTCCTCTCCGTCACCATCCTCATCTACCTACTCATGGGGTATGGGTGTATGTCCTCATCCCCACGCTGTCCGCAGAAGGGCGGGGGGATCCCCAGGCCGCCCCTCCTGAGGCTGTCCAGGACAGGGAGGACGTGGGGTGTTTCTGGAGGGGATGGAAATCTGGGAGACTTGTTCTTTCCGAAGGCTACACAGAACAGGCTGGACTTGAGCTCCCCCTGGAGGAGGGAGCCCTGGAGAACTATTCCTCCATGAGGTTGTGCAGGGCAGGGAAGGGTATACCCTCTCTGCACCTTGGTTTCCCCTCTTTGTGGTATCTGAGGCCAGAGGAGTCACAGGGCCAAGACCACCACCTTTTTCCTCAGTGAGATGCACATGGTGGACACCGTGACATGGCACAAGATGAGAGGTAGGCAGCCCTGGCCCTCTCTCCTGCCCCAGCCCTCCAGCACCACTCCACATCTCCTAACTCCCCCCACCCTGTCTTTCCTTCCCCGCTTTTCTCCCTCATCTGCCTAGCCCACTGGACACGCAGCCCTTAGATTCCCCTTACATCTGTGTTTCTCTCTACCGTGTCTCTTCCCCATCTGTCTGTCCCATCTCATGTCCATGCCTGACTCTCTTGAGTCAAGACATCTGCCAGTCCTGGGCCTACCTGCTCAGCTGCCTGTCTGGCCCCATGCCCACCTCTCCACACTTGCTCTTCTTTCTTACCACCTCTCACCTGGTGTTCCCCGTACCCCATGATGACCTGCTCTCTGCTCATCCACTTGACCATGGGCACCACACCTAGGGGCCCAGATGATTGTGGCCATGAAGGCGGTGTCTCTGGGCTTCGACCTGGACCGGGGTGAGGTGGGTGCAGTGCCCTCGCCCGTGGAGTTCATGGGCTACCTCTACTTCGTGGGCACCATCGTCTTTGGGCCCTGGATATCCTTCCACAGCTACCTACAGGCCGTCCAAGGCCGCCCGCTGGTGAGGTCCTGGGTGGACAGGTGGGCAGGGACCATGGGAAGCCACCATGGGGCAGTGTTCATGGAGCCTTGATCCCCACAGAGCCGCCGATGGCTGCAGAAGGTGGCCCGGAGTCTGGCGCTGGCCCTGCTGTGCCTTGTGCTGTCCACCTGTGTGGGCCCCTACCTCTTCCCGTACTTCATCCCCCTTGATGGTGACCGCCTCCTTCGCAAGTGAGCACAGCCTTCGAGGCCTCTGCCCAGCAGTGAGGGGGTTGGGGAGGGACCTGGGGTCTCCCCAGCTCTGAGTTGTCTCTTAATGCTTCTGTCTGTCTTCTGTTACTACAGCAAGAAACGCAAAGCCAGGTAAATGAGGGCAGGTGCTGAGGGCGAGTGGGGCTGAATGGGGGTGGGTGCACAGTCTGTGACTGATTGGTTCTGTGAGTCTGAGACTGTCTGACCATCCACCCGGTGACTAGACAGAGACTGAGCGTCTGTGGCTGTGGTTTGACCAAGATTGGCCCTATGACTCCGTGTACAATGGATACTCCGTCACATACTGTGCCTGGCTGTCCGTCTGTTCTGCTATTTCACCATCAGAAGCAAGTTATGTGACTGCAGTGCCACAAGTATGTGTTGGTTGGTGACACTGACCTGTCTGTGACTCTAGCTAGGGGTTTGTATAGGTTGTTTACCTATCAGCCGGGGACTCCTGTGTGGGACTGGAGTTCTGGCTGTCTGGCTGGGCGGTTGTCCATGATAGGAGTATGTGGCTGTCACTGGATAGGATAAATCTGGCTTGTCTGTAACCCTGGCTGGGAATGGGTCTGACTGTCGCGTGTCGTGCGCATGTCTGTGATGGATTCTGCCTGTGGGTCTGCCTTCTCTGGCTCCTTGGTATTGTCTAGCTGAGGGGCAGAACCGACCTTCCACCCCGGGTGTGACTAGGATTTCATCCAGCTATTTGACTGTATGACCTTCTCCCCTACTCACTGGCCGCTGATTGTGTCTGATGCTGAATGAGGCTCTGAAGGGTGGAATGACTTGCCCAGTGTCACCCAACTAAGCAGCCAGGCACTAATCCCAGGCCCGAATCCAGAACCTATGCTTTTTCCAGTGTAAGACGCTGCTTGTCTTTGACCGTGTCTGACTGTACAACTGACAGGATGACTATCTGAGTACAGAATTGTGTGTGCATGCGTAACAGGGTGCTTGATGGTCTCTGTGCCTAACTAAAGGACTTCCGGGTATCTTATGGTCACCGAATCAGGTCAGAGAGCTTGGAGTCTGATAGTATGTGTGTCTGGCCATGTGGCTGTGAGGTCAGCCTCTAACAGTCCCTGGGTCTGGATGTCTGGCCACGTGAAGCTGCGGGACCGTGTCATATTATAGGGCAGCTCACACATCCATTTGAGCTGCCTGAAACTAACTGATGGTGTACGGATGGATAGATGTGTGGGACTATCACAGCGCACCTCTTTTGCCGCCATATTTGTCTGTCTTGTTGATGAACAACTCAGGCCAGCCTCCAGGGCCTCTCTGACTCTCTTTCCTTTCTTCTCTGCTGCCTTCCTGACCCCTAGGGGCACCATGGTAAGGTGAGTCTACAGAGGGGCCAGGGATGCTGGCACATGGTGGGGTGTCACGCTGGGGCCTGGGCGTGATGCCTCTCTCTCCCTGGCTCCTTTCCCGCAGGTGGCTGCGAGCCTATGAGAGTGCTGTCTCCTTCCACTTCAGCAACTATTTTGTGGGCTTTCTGTCCGAGGCCACGGCCACGTTGGCAGGGGCTGGCTTCACCGAGGAGAAGGATCACCTGGAATGGTGGGGAGGGCTGGGGAGCCCCATCTCCCACAGGGTGCTGCCTAGAGGAGCTGCAGGGAGGAGGGGGGTGTTCCTGGGGGAGGGAACAGCCAAGAACAAAAGTGTGGCCATCAGGTGGGTTGAAATCCCAAATGAGTTTGCGTGTCTCTTTTGCCCATAGGGACCTGACGGTCTCTAAGCCACTGAACGTGGAGCTGCCCCGGTCCATGGTGGAAGTTGTCACAAGCTGGAACCTGCCCATGTCTTATTGGCTAAATAACTGTGAGTCACCACTCCAAGAGAGTTGGCAGTCCTCAACCCACACCCCTTTCACACATTCATACAACAAGCTGAAGATAGTAGGGACCAAAAAATCTCCCAAATTCCTGCCCTTGTGGAGTTGACATTTTTGTGGGGGTAGCAGTATAATAAAAAGAAAATACACAATAGTTCAGGTAGTGCTAAGTGCTATGGTAAAAAATAAAGAAAGCAGGTAAAGATGACCTGGGAGTCTTAGGAGTGTGTGAGTAGGGGTGGATGCAATTTTAAATACATCATCCAGAGCAAGTCTCACTGAGGAGCTAACGTTTGAGCAAAGACCTGAAGGAGGTGAGAGAGCAATCAATGCAAACATGTAGGGGAGGAATTTAACACATGGAAGGAACAGCAAGTGCAAAGGCCCTGAGGCAGGAGCATACCTGGCACATTTGAAAAACAGTGAGGAGACCAGTGTGGTGGGATCAGAGTGAGCGAGGGGACCATTGGCAGGAGGTGAGTTCGGAGAGGTGACAAGGCCTGGTTCTGTAGGGCCTCTCTGGCCACGGGGAGGACTTTGGCTTTTTCTCTGAGAGAGATCTCAGAGCAGGGTTCTGAGCAGAGGAGGGCCATGGGCTGACTTAGGTTGTACCAGGACCCTCTGGCTACTGTGAGGACAGACAGGGAGTCGGGGAGGGCAGAGTGGAAATGGGGAGGAGAGGTCAGATTCTGGATAAACTCTGAAGATAGAACTGACAGGATTTGCTGAGTTTGGTTATGGGCGTTGGGGGTGGGGGGCAGATCAAGGGTGATAGTGAGGCTTTTGTCCTGAGGAACTGGAAGGGTGTAGTTGACACTGGCTGCACTTGGGAAAGACTATAGGAGGAGCAGGTTGGGAGGGAAGATCAGGAGCTAACTTTTAGACAATGTGAAGTTGGAGGCCATTATAAAGAGACTTCATCCTGGGGGCCCCAAGAGGTTGTGGGTATCCTCACCCTGCCCTATGGCCCTCCAGGAAGGGCAGGGGGGAATCTCAGGAGACACTTGCCCCACATCTCCCCCCTGCAGATGTTTTCAAGAATGCTCTCCGCCTGGGGACCTTCTCAGCTGTGCTGGTCACCTATGCAGCCAGCGCCCTCCTGCACGTGAGCAGGGCGGAGCGGGACCAGGGTGGTAGCTGGATGGGGGTGGTAGGGCCTCCTCCTCACTCACCTCATTGCCCCCCACCCCCACACCAGGGCTTCAGCTTCCACCTGGCTGCGGTGCTGCTGTCCCTGGCGTTTATCACTTATGTGGAGCACGGTGAGGGCGGAACCCAGCCCAGTAGATGGGATGGAAGGTTGGTGGCGGGCTGGAACCACTGTCCCCTGAGGCTAACCTGACGCCCTTACCTCTGCCCCACCCCACCCCGCATCTGCCCTAGTCCTCCGAAAGCGCCTGGCTCGGATCCTCAGTGCCTGCATCTTGTCGAAACGGTGCCCAGCAGACTGTTCACACCAGCATCGCTTGGTGAGGGTTCAGCCTAGGCAGCCTTTTGTCCAACTCTCCCCCTCAAAAATTACTTCTGTCTCCATCTTATATCTGTCTCAGGGTGCCCAGCTTCCTCTTCCAGTGCCCGATCCACCCCCATAACCTCATCTCTATTCACTGGCATCCATTTATCTAACGAACATTTATCAAGCAACTGCTATATACCCACCTAGCGTTTATTTTCCCCAGTGAACATCTGTTGAGCACCTGCTGGTATCAGGCATTGTTCAAGGTGCTGGAGACACAGTGGTGAACAAAACAGACCAAAGTCCCAGCCCTCTGGGACAAACATTTTAACAGGGAAGACAGTAAATAAAAAATAAGTAAAGTATAATAGTTTGTTAGACTGTGATTAGTGCCAAGGAGAAAATACATAAGAGAAAGAGAAAGGGAAGTATCAGGGGCTGAGTGGTTTCAAGTTTAAATGGGGAGGTGACTTTTGAGTTCTTTAACTGAAGGAGGTGAGGGAGGGAAGCATTCCAGGCAAAGTCAACAACAGTGTAAAGGCCCTGAGATGGGAGAGGGCCTGGAATATTTGAGGAACAGCGAGGAGGCCGGTATAGCTTGAGCAGAGTGAGTGAGACAGGGAGAGGTGGGCCCTGTAGGTCACAGTGGGGATTTGCTTTCGTTTGAGTCTTTTTTTTTCTCATTCTTTTTGCAACAAGAAGTATGGAGAATTTCAGATTTTCCTCCCACCCGACAACCAATGTTTATCACCATAAACCCCCAACTCAAAGCCCTACCCACCATTTTTCCTCCTCTGCCTGAATACTCACATCTCCCCCAACCTGGACGCTCTCATGCTAACAGTACCCTCATCCTTGGATACCCCTTGAGCTCCCATAGGAGGATCAGAACCATCTCTTTCCTACCCTGGGGGTGGGTGCCCTGGACATCCTCATTCCTGTGCCTTGTGCATTTCCCTGTGTGCCCCTGCCCAAGTGGGGCTGGGGGATGGTGATTAGGTCCAGCTGCCAAGCATATCCATCTGTCCCCCACAGGGCCTGGGGGTGCGAGCCTTAAACCTGCTCTTTGGGGCCCTGGCCATCTTCCACCTGGCCTACCTGGGCTCCCTGTTCGATGTTGATGTGGACGACACCACAGAGGAGCAGGTGAGGTGGGGCCCTGGGCTCAGGGTTACCCAGGGATATGCTACCTATTCATGGGAACCATGAGGACAAAGGTGGGGAGGCCAAGGCATGGGAACCTTGTGTCATCTGTCTCCAGCTTGTGTAGCCACTGCTCTACCGTCCTTCTGTCCCCTTGTCCCTCTGGTTGATTCATACTGTTGGGTCTTTTACTTGGGTGAAGTGTGCAAAATACATTTATTTTACTTATAAAATTTATTTTCTAGAGATGGAGTGCAAAATCCAGGTTTTACTTTTTTAAAAGTTAATTATTTCATCATATTTTTATTTAGGTAGAATTCACAAGATTTCTTTATTTAATTTGTTAAAAAAAATAGTTTTACTTACATTGATTGTGCAAATCCTGGATTCTACTTAAAAAGTGTATGTTGGGATTCCCTGGTGGTGCAGTGATTGAGAGTCCACCTGCCGATGCAGGGGACACGGGTTTGTGCCCCGGTCCAGGAAGATCCCACATGCCGCGGAGCGGCTGGGCCCATGAGCCATGGCTGCTGAGCCTGCGCGTCCGGAGCCTGTGCTCCGCAACAGGAGAGGCCACAACAGTGAGAGGCCCGCGTACCGCAAAAAAAAAAAAAAAAAAATAGTGTATATTAAAATGTATATACTAGTTTTATGCAGGTGGAGTGTGCACGTTCCAGGTTTTACTCCTTTTTAAATGAAAAACAATTTCAAAATAATGTTTATTCATATGGCACTAGCAGGATCCCGGTTTAGCTTCTCTTTCAGCTCATTTTTTTTCTTTTTTTTTTTTTTTTTTGGCCATTCCAGGCGGCTTTCGGGATCTTAGTTCCCCGACCAGGGATTGAACCCTGGCCCCCGCAGTGAAAGCGCCGAGTCCTAACCACTGGACGGCCAGGGAATACCCTGCATTAACTATTTTTAAAGTTTTAATAAAAATAAAACAAAAATTTTATTTAAAAAGAAGCAAAACCCAGATTTTGCACATTCAACCTGAATAAAAAATTAAAAATTGTTTTTAATGACAAAATATAAAATAATATAAAGTTTTATTTTCAATTAAAAATTTAAGGAAATTCCCTGGCTGTCCAGTGGTTAGGACTCGGCGCTTTCACTGCGGGGGCCAGGGTTCAATCCCTAGTCGGGGAACTAAGATCCCTCAAGCCACGAGGCATGACCAAAAAAAAAAAAAAAAAAAAGTTAATGCATATCACGTGGTTGAAAAACCAAACAGTATTCAAGATATTCAGGGGAGAGTCTTATTCCTGCCGTCTTACCCCCACCCTCTTACAGGTAACCACTTTTATTCATTTTATTAAACTATCCTTCTAAAATTGAAGCATAATAAGCAGATATAAAAATATATTTTAATTCCCTCCCCCCTGCTTTTTACCCTAAAGGTAACACATGAATGACACTGTGCTGCATGTTGCTTTTTTCACATAATTCCTGAAAACCTTCCACATGAAGACATAGAGTGTTCTCGTTCATTTTTTCCATTGTGACACAATGTAGTTTGTCCCTTATTGGTGGACACCCAGGTGATTCCCACTCTTTTCCTATGGTAAGTGGTGCTGCAGCAAGTAATACCCTCACATCCATGTGGATTCACATAGGTGCAGACAGAGCTGTAGGATCTAGTCTTGACAGCAATGGAGAAGTTACCTTTTTGCCCTCCCACCAGCAGTATGTGATCGTGCTTGACACCCCGACAACAGAGTGCCTCTCAGACCTCATGGATATGTTTGCCAGTTTGAGTGGAGGAAGATGATGAGTGAGGCTGAGTATTTTTTCGTATATTTAAGAGCCATTTGGGTTTTTTTTTCCTTTACTGAAAATGGCCTACTCACCTCCTTTGCTAATTTTTGTCTTTTTAAAAAGTGAATTTCTAGGAGCTCTTTATATATACGGGAGAGTACAGGTCAGAGAGTGGGATTGCCTTGTCTTGTTTTTTAAATTTTTGAAAGAGAAGAAAATACAAAAGAAAAAACTAAATATGCCTACCTTTCATATGTACCCAATCTCTTCTCTGGGGCCTCACTCAGGGCTGCAGTGGAGTCACAGAAACGTCCTTGAGCAAAGGGTAGGTTTTCCTGAGACCTTCTTTGTTCTTGATGAGTGGGACCGACCATCACCGCTTTCTCTCCCACAGGGCTACGGCATGGCATACACTGTCCACAAATGGTCAGAGCTCAGCTGGGCCAGTCACTGGGTCACTTTTGGATGCTGGATCTTCTACCGTCTCATAGGCTGAGGCACATCTGTGGACCCTCACAACTCTCTCAAGACCCCTCCTCAGGGTGCCAGCTCTGATGGGGGATGAGGGAAGGCCCTCTCTCTAATTCTTGACCCTCTCTCCATCCTTGGCCCCCAACACCCATACACACACACACACACACACACACACACACACACACACAACCATTTCCATGCCTGTCAATCCCCACCCCACCACAAGGCGGGAAGGGAGTGGTCCCTGCTGGGGCCTAGGGGCGGGGGATGCTTGGGGAAGCAGAGAGGGGGAGATCCAGGGCCTCCCCGCCTTCCTTGACCCTTTTTATATACAGTTTGTTATTATCAAATAAAAGTAGGAAGTATACAAAAGGCTCGCTCTTCACTGCTCAGTGGGGAATAGAAGTGAGTGAGGAAGGGGGCACAGCATGGATAAAGGTTTGGAAGCTAGAAACCGTGAAGAGGGAGGTTGTGATTGGTTCATGGTTTATTATCATTCATGATTGGATGATGAGCCTGAGGATAGCACTGCTTGATTTGAGTGGGACCAGGACAGATTGGATACTTGGATGTAGGGGAGGCCTGATACTAATTGGCTAGAAAAACTGAGGGATCCCCATTCGGTTTGGTTGCCCTGACTGGGACAGAGGAGGGAAAGACTGATGAAGAGTTGATGCTTATTGGTCCTTAGGACTGAGGGCTGTGGGTTCTAATTGGATAGGAGGCCTGGGTTGGATCTGGATACTGACTTAGTCTGGGCGCCCACTGGGTTAGAGTTATGGAGTCCTGATTGGTTCTTTAGAGTTGGCAGGGGGAGATTGAGGGTCTCCATGCCAATTGGCCAACAAGGCTGAAGGGCCTGGGTTTTGATTGGTTCTTCTGACTTGAAGTCAGGAGAGGTGAAGATGGCCTGAGGGAGAGGCAGAGGCAGCGTGTAGTATTGATCTGCCTGTTGTATTAACAGTTTCCTTGCCCATTCGGGGATTAGGATTGAAGGTTGGTCTAGGAAAAGATTTCGTTGCTCTGCCTTTGAAAATGAGGGCAAAGGTGAGAGGACACAACGCAATGCTGATGCAACAGCACAGAAACACCCGATTTCCGATGTGATTTATAAGGGGATAGGAAACTGAAGCCGCGACTCGCTGCAGGTTGGCTTCCGCCGAAAACGCCCACCAACCTTGGCCCTCCCAGCCTCTTCCACGCCTGACTGGGTCTCAACCAACAGCGAAAATGGTACCAACGCGTGAGGGCGGGGTCGGCGGCACAGAGAATTACTATTGGTTGGGAGCGGCAGTGGCCTCCTTCCCAGCCCCTCCATTGGCCAGTTCCGTAAGGCGGAACCTGTGAGGGGTTGGGTTTGAACTAGGGATATTTCGGAGCCAGCAAGCGATCCTAGAGAGACCCCGGAGCCGGTGGGAGAGGCCGCTGCAGCCGCGCTGCTGGGTGAGTTCCCTCCGCCTGGCCTGCCACTCCATCCCTTAGTTCTCAATTGCAAAACGGCCAGCCCTCGGCGCGCCTGCGCAAGACCCTACCCTCCCCCCCCACCCCGCGCCGTCCCACCCCCCCCGCCACCCCCACGCGCCTGCGCAGGACCCCCGGCTACCGCGCGGTCGTCCGGACGACAGAAGATCCGCCTTCTCATTGGGCAGCTGAACTAGCGGGTTCTAGTTCTGATTGGTGGTCTCTGTATTTGACCCTCCTTTTTCTCTTTAGCGCCCCGCGCAAGGCTCCTCTTTGTTGCAGGTTAGCCGCAGGCTGCGCAATTTCGGGAGGAGTCGGGCGATCCCACACACTGAACCTGAGGGTCGTCGTTCTGATTAGTCTTCTCTCTTCTGTCCTGCAGTTTCCAGGACTACGGGGAGGGTAATAGCTTTCCGTTGCATGATGCAAGACAGTGACCCCTGCAAATGGGACCTTACCTGGTCGTTGTGTCTCCCCCAGCCGACTGTGACCCCTGAGGGCGGGGATCAGGTGGCTCCCCCACCAAAGCGTGACCAATGAGGGCTGGGACCTAGTATGATTCTTGTGTCTGCCCACCAGACTGTGACCAATGAGGTCAGAGACTGGGCCTGGTTCCTATCTTCCCCAGCAAACTGACCAATGAGGGCTGGGACCTGTTCTAGTTCCTGTATCTACCGCATCCTATGGCTCCCGGAGGGCTGGAACAAGCTTTCAGTCTTTCTGTGGCCTTATAGTCATGTTTTTTAAAACAGTAAATAATTAGATTATTTTAATCATGTCTGTATTAATTGGTTAATTGAGTCCATTTACATTTCTTGTCATAATAAACTATTTGGATTTGATTTTATGATCTCATTCTGTGCTCTCTATTTGTTCAGGTTTTTCCTTTCCTTTTATTCTCCTTTCTACATATCCACACACCTCCATCAGCCTACAAAGACATGACCACCAATGCCAGCCCCGTGCACCCATACTGGCCTCGGCACCTGAGGCTGGACAACTTTGTGCCTAATGACTGCCCCACCTGGCATCTCCTGGCTGGCCTCTTCTCCATCTCTGGGGTCTTAGTTGTGACCACATGGCTGTTGTCAGGTCATGCTGCGGTCATCCCACTGGGGACTTGGCGGAGACTGTCCCTGTGCTGGTTTGCAGTGTGTGGGTTCATTCACTTGGTGATTGAGGGCTGGTTCAGCCTCTACCACGAGGACCTTCTCGGAGACCAAGCCATCTTGTCTCAACTCTGTGAGTCCTGAGTTCTTCAGTGTGCTGTGGAAGGGAATTTCCTGGGCAGGGATTGGCTTAGATGTTTACCCACCCACCAACTCTTTTCCATTCATTTTAAATAAAATTTTTAAATTTATTTAACTTTTTGTTGCATATATATTCACATGGATCCAAAACTAAACAATTTAAAGAGGTATGCGGTGAAAATCTGCGTTCTATCCACCAAGTTTCCCCAAATAATTGCATATGTTTCTTTTCAGGGTTTTACACATAAATTAACACACATAAGCCTCAGTTTGCTCAATTATAAAAGAGGGATAATAAGTCATATCCAAATATATGTAAGACACTTAGAACAGTGTTTGGCAGATAGTAGATGTCATATTATTATCATCATCATCATCATTTTTATTTTTTCTTTTGTGTAAATGGTAACATGCTATATACACTTCTGAACTTTGCTTTTTTAAAATGAGGACACTTACAGAACTATTTGACTTTTCCAGTACTGATAGCATTTTCCACCAATATTTTGCTGTTACAAACAATACTCCTTTTTGGCCTCAAGAATAAATCTGGTAGAACATTCTTCTGCAAGTCTCCGTGTGGAGATCTGCTTTCATTTCTCTAGGGTAAATATGGAGGAGTGGAATGGCTGGGTCACATGGTAGATGTGTGTTTACCTTTATGAAAAACTGCCAAACTTTTCAAGAATGGCTGCACCAAAAAAATTTTTAAAATGGCTGCGCCATTTTATATTCCCACCGGCAGTATATGAGAGTTCTAGTTTCCCACATCCTCACTGACACTTGGTATGGTCAGGTGTTTCTTAAATTTTAGTCCTTCCAGTGGATGTGAGTGATATCTCATTATGGTTTTAATTGGCTTTCCCTTAATGACTAACAAAAGTTTGAGTAGCTTTCATGTGTTTACTGACCATTTGGAAATCCTCTTTTGTGAAAAGCCTATTCCAGTCTCCTATTTTTACATTGGGTGATCTGTCTTTTTCTTGATTCTCTTCTCACTCTTTCATTTACTCATCTGTTCACCTTCTCTCTCTCTCTCTCTCTCTCTCTCTCTCTCTCGCTGTCACTCACTCATTGGCTACGTCCCTCACTCCATCATTTACACCTGCCTCATTTTACTCCACAAACATTTATTGAATACCAGACAATCACAGCAACACTTATTGTTCTGTGCCAGGTTTGCACACATTATCTTGTATACATATATTAACCCTAGAGTCCAAACAACTACCCCATTTCACAGATGAGGAAACTGAGGCATGGGGAAGTTAGTCTGAGTTCCTTTTCCTGATGATATTCTTCATGTATGTCTCTCGTCTTCTTCAGGGAAAGAGTATGCCAAGGGAGACAGCCGATACATCCTGTAAGTGTTTGCCTCTGTCAAGGGAGACCTGTGTTTTGGAGGGGTGGTGAGTCAGGGACCACTAATGGGGTGCCTTGTGGGGAGAGCACAGTGATGCCAGTGCCCCCCAATCCTTTCTCTTGCAGGAATGATAGCTTCATGATATGCATGGAGACCATCACAGCTTGCTTGTGGGGACCACTCAGCCTATGGGTGGTGATCGCCTTTCTCCGCCAGCAGCCCCTCCGCTTTGTCCTACAGCTTGTGGTCTCTGTGGGTGAGGAGAGGGCCCACACTGGGTGCTTGAAGGCTTGATGGGGGATCCACAGACGTGGGGGCATCCCTGCAGGTGGGACCTCTCAATGTGCCCATCCAGGGCTGAGTCAGACTGAATGACAAACTCCCTGAGGTTCTGGAACAGCCATGCCCCTCTTGGCCTGCATTCTCAAGCGAGGAGGGTTCATTTCTCCTCCCACTCCATCACAAAGTCTCCCATGAAGGTTACGGTTACATGAGGTGACCCATGATGGTGGGAGGCCCCCGGATCCTCCAGGAGCAAGATTCTGAGTTTCCTTCATCTGAGATTCAGTCCTCTTACGTTCTTACTTTGTTAACTTTCTGGAAATGTGAGTTCTCTCTAGTCCTGGAATCCTGAGATGTCTTGAATGAAAGGATTTTGAGCTTCCTTAAACTCTAGAGATACGAACTCTCCTGAGTTCAGAAAGTCTCAGCTTCTGATTTCTGGAAATCTCACTTCTGTTTTCTGAAATCCTCAGCCATATGATTGCAGAACACTTAGGTCTCTGAATTTGGGAATCCTGAGCTCTGATGACTTGGAAAATGGCTTGGAATTGTTCCCCCTCCTTACAGGCTTTCCTTCTTCCCCTTCTATCTCCCACAGGTCAGATATACGGGGATGTGCTATATTTCCTGACAGAGCACCGTGAGGGATTCCAGCATGGGGAGCTGGGCCACCCTCTCTACTTCTGGTTTTACTTTGTCTTCTTGAACGCCCTGTGGCTGGTGCTGCCCGGAATCCTCGTGCTTGATTCTATAAAGCAACTTGCTCGTGCCCAGAGCATGCTGGACACCAAAGCCACAAAAGCCAAGAGCAAGCAGAAATAATGAGTGATGAACTGGGCTTGAACACTGGCTATTGAGGAACTCTCCACCTGCCAGAAGATTCCAATCCTTGCTCTCACAGGTTGGAAGGACAAATCAAATTGATCTGTCAAACTCAGGCTGATGGGTGAACAGGGGGAAGAAAGGAGCTGTGTGGAGCTACTGTCAGGAGCTGTTGGGACAAAGGTACAAGAGAACCTTGGAAGTCTGTGATGGGGACAATTTTTTTAAATCAGGAAATAAAGATCTTGACCCTATGCTGAGCGATCTTTAATGACTAACCCCAGAGATGCCCCATGACTGACCCCATAGACCCCTCCAGCACTCATTCCACAGACCATCATTCTCTCAGCCATAGACTGCCATCATCATCATGTAGACCTCGAATCTATGACCTCACAAATCCCCATCACTGACCCCACAGATTCCTCTGATGGCTGATTAGATTCATGAATCACACCTGTCAGCTCTTTTAAGGCGTGATCATCCACCCACGCCCTTGGCGTTCTCTCCAGAACACACCTCTCTTTTTACAATATGGATAGGCTGAGAATTTTCCAAATCCAAGTTCTTCAGTTTACTCAACCTCTTGTCTCCTGATCAGGTACCCCACAACTACCCCATCACTAACTCTACAGGCCCCTCATTACTCCAAAGACCCCCATCACTACCCTAACCTTCCCATCACTCACACCAGAGACCCCACAAAACTCACTCCACCACCCTCCCATCACTCACACCACATACTCCATCATTAACAACTAAGATACCCATCACTCTCCCCACAGCCTTTCATTTGCTCCAGAGACAGACCATCATTCACCTCACAGACCTCTGTCACTCACACCACAGACCCCATCACTCGCCCCAACAGACCTCCCATCACGTACAACTCCAAGACTCACCTCATAGACTCCCTATCATGTGTCACACAAACCCTCTCACTCTCCCCACAAACCCCCTATCATTTACCCCATAGGCCTCATCACTCACCATACAGATCCCCTATCACCACCCTATAAACTCCCCATAACTCACCCTGCAGAATCCATCACTTACCTTACATACCCCATCACTCACCCTATAGATCCCCAATTACCCCACAGATCTTCCATCACTTACCCCATATCCTATCACTCAACCCCACAGACCACCTGTCATGTACCCACAGATACTCTTCACCCTACAGACCCCCATCACTCATCCTGCACTCTCTGTCATTAACCTCATAGACCTTCAGTCATAAAACAAATGGGTACTTGAGGAATTTTGAGGAGATGACAAAGAATGAATAATAAAACTGCAGATACCTGGAAACTGGCTCCAGGTAACCTGTGCAGAGCAGGACTTCATTTTAAATCCTGGTTCCGCTCAAGCCTACAGTGTAGCTTTTGACAAATGCCTCACTGTTAAGGCCGTGCTTCACTTTCTCACCTCAGATCCATCACTTACCTCATGGTTTACTTAAGGCATGCTGGCCTCTGTGTTCTTCCTCAGACACACCAGGCACAGGCCCACCTTCCGTCCATTGCACTGTCTGCTCTCTGTGCCATTTACTATCGCTTTGGTCTAGAGCATGTTTTCCCCTTTCATTCAGTGCTTTCATCTGTAAAATGCTTATAATAATAGTACCTATCTCATAGGGTTTTTATGCAGATTAAAGGAATTAATATATTTAGACTATCTGGCATACACTTTGTTGAATGGAACAATGAACAAATGAAAGAGAAAGTTCTCCCTAGCACTATGGCAAGGACCTCCTTTTTGAATTCCTTGCTTCCAGTATCTTTCCTTCCAGGGCTCTCTCCACAACCAAGACAGGGACATCTGATCACATCATACCCCCATCTAAAACCTGTGCTCCAGGGCCTGCAGGATAAAACTCCAAGCTCTAGGCTAATGTTTTGCTCATTCCACCCTATGGTAATTTTAATGAGAAACAGACTTTCAAACTCCCTGTTTCCATCAGAAAATCCAGCAGTGCCACAGAAGTGTTTTAGAATTGCAGACTTCTCTAAAAAGGTAACGTTAACGGTAGCATCCATACAATACTGCAGCAACAGCTGGAGTCCAGGTAACTTACAGGACTCCTTTGTGAGAAATTACATTTGTAAGGGCAGCCTGTATTTTGTCCAAACCATATAGATGTTATACAGTAAAGTGAGGAGAATGCCTTTTTGCATTTTGTGGTACATAAAGTTTCTCAAAGGAGTCTAAGCTATGTCCAGTATTCAGCTGATATTTGGTGGACACACCATTTAATAACAGGATCGATCTCAACGTGTTGTAAGGATTCAATAAAAACAAAGGCAAACTTTAAAAAGCTAGGACCTCCAGAGAGCATACAAATGGCTTTTTTGGGTAAATTACTTATTGAAGTATAACATGCGGGCAGAAACTGCAAAAATCATAAATGTACAGCTCCATGAATTTTCACAACGTGTAAACTATTTTTTAAAAGATTCTGGAAAAAGGATTATTCTTCCGTTCAGCGGATTCATTTGAAGTGAGGATCACAGGCGTTTGAAATAGATGACATCATCTCTAAGCAGAGACGCGAGGCGACTTGGGGCGGGATGTGGAGGCTTGACGTCGTCGCGCAGCAGCTTCCTTTCCCCGCCCACTTTTCTCGCCTGAATAGGTCGTCACTTTAACACGCACCTAGGTGAACCCGGAAGCAAACTGCCCAAACAACCAAACCAAGAACAAGGGCGGGGCGGGCCCTCAATAAGCGCCTGCACACTGGCTAAAGTGAGGCAAAATGCCCGGCTTTGGGGGGCGGGGCTCCTGGCAACAGCACACTGTGCGCGTGCGCAGAGGCGACCTCCACCCTGTGCCAGGTGGTGGGGGGGGGTAGGGTCCCGTGGCGCCCTCTGCGCCTGCGCCCGGGCGCAAGGTGGGGCCGCAGGCGCCCGCATTTTGGGGTGTGCGCAAGGGTAGGGGGCAACGGTCAGCTGTCACCCGGAGGCGGGTGGTGGAGGGATGGCGACGGCCTCTGGATCCTCGGACTTGGCCGGCTCCGGAGCGCCCCCGCCTGGTGGGGGAGCCCAAGCGGCAGCTGAGGAGGAAGAGCGAGAGGTGGTGCGGGTCCGAGTCAAGGTGAGGCTGGCGGCCCGTCGTCTAGCCTGCCCCGAGTTCCCAGGGGAAGGGAAGGCGGTGGCTGTCCTAGGCTGGAGGGCGGGACCTGAGAATTGGGGTGTTACGTGAGGGGCGAGGCTTGAGGGCAGAGTGATGGTGGCGTGAGTGGAGGGTGGGGGAGAGGCTGGACCTGGGAATGCGAGGGCAGGGCATGGGGCGTGATGACTGCAAATGGAAAGGTAGAGGCCCCTGGAATGGATGGGTGGAGATTGTGGGTAGAGAGGAGGGGCTATAGGGCTGGAGGAGGGGCCTTTATAGTTGAGTGGGGCCTTGAGAAATGAGGGAGGCTGTTGCTGTCTGAAAAGGAACCTCTGACATCGGTCAACATATGTGTTGAGAGTGCACTTTTGTGCAAGTCCCCACCCTGGATGAGCGGACATACTCGTCGGGGAGACAAACAGCTCAGTAAATGAGATGCTTCAGACACTGGTAGATGTCATGGGGAAATAACGAAAAAGGTTCGGAACTAGGGAGTTACTTTAGCCAAGGTCGTACAGGGAAATCCCCAGAGAGGTACTGAAGGAGCAGAGACACAAATAAAAAGGAGTCAGGCATGTGCATATCAGGGGGGAAGAGTGTTCTAGACAGAGGGAACAGCAAGGGCAAAGGCTGGGAGGTGGGGATGAGCTTGGCATGTTCCCTTAGGTTCCCATGTTGCTGGAGCCCAGAGAGTGAGGGGAAGAGTGGTAGGAGGTGAATCGGAGAGGTAAGAGAGGGGCAGATTGTGAAGGGCCTTTGGCATGTACTCTTGAGTAAGAAAGATGTTGCAGTAGTTCCAGCAGGCAGTCAGTGATGGTGGCTCAGACTAGGGTGGTGGCACTGGTGGTGATGAGAAGAGGGTAGATTCTGGTGAGAAGTAAACAGATCACTTCAGTGTAATAGAGGAAGCTCAAAGGTAGAGGTTTGGGAGTTCAGAAAAGAGAAGATGCCTGAGCTGTGTGTGAGCCAGCTGAAGAAAGTGGGAAGGACGTACCAGACTGGGGGATCTGCATAAGCAAAGGCCTGGAGCCAGAATGTATTCAGAGTATAACTTCCAGGAGTCTGGTAGTACCAGAGTGTAAAGTTCAAAAAAGCTGACTGGAGGGAGGCTGGCTGGGGTCCTATAGGCCCACCTGTTGGGGATCCTGGGGTTCCCTTTGAAGAGATTTAAGCAGGGGAGTGTTGTAGATAGATGTGCTAGATTGGTTGCAGCGCGGAGGACTGGTTTAGTGAGGGCCAGACTGGACATGGTGATCCAGGCAACCATCATTGAGGGGATGTAGAAGAAGGATTGGGTGCCTGGACTATTGCAGTAGCCCCCTCACTGGAACACTCCTTTCTCCTTTGTCCCCCACAGACTGTTCATAGAGCAGCCAGAAGGATCCTGTTAAATCCTGAGTCAGACCACATCCCTCCTCTGCTCAGAACCCTCCCAAGCCTCCCCCACCCTCCATTCAGAGCAAAAACAACAGTTCTCCCCATGGCTCAGAACTCCCGCCTTGATCTGGTCCCTGCTACTCACTCCATGTCAGCATGGTGATGTGACCCCTGATGGCCGACCCCTGTCTTCTCTCCCCAGAAATGTGAGAGCTTCTTGCCACCTGAGTTTCGCTCTTTTGCTGTGGACCCCCAGATCACCTCACTCGATGTGTTACAGCACATCCTCATCCGAGCCTTTGACTTGAACGGGTGAGTAACGGGAGCCTGGGGAAAGCCAGTGGGCCACCCACCTCGACAGCGGTTGTTTGGCATTTTTATTGTTGTTGTTTGGTAAAGGGGGAGGTTGTTTTCTTGTTATTATTACTATTATTATTATTATTATTATTATTATTATTATTATTGAAATAATCCCACAGTGAACAAACAGCCACATACATATCTTGGAATATTTGGGGAAATCTAGTCATAGGAGTAATATTGCTGAGTTAAGCGGTGTATGCTTTTTTAAAATTTCAACAGATGTTTCCAAAATGTTCTCCAGGTAGGTATTACCAATTTACAGTCTCACCAGCAGCCCATAAAATTCCTGTTTCCCTCACACCCTCACAAACACTGGCTACTAGAAAACATTGGAAAATTTGCCAACCTGATAGATGAAAAGTAGTGTCTCTTGGAGGCAGGTGTGATGGTTATTTTGTTG